CAGCCTGAGCGATAATAAAAGCAATCCAGTAGAGTTACCTGTGCAGACACAAGATTTATGCCTCTTCATATTTGATGTGATTGCTTTATTGAGTTCTCAGAAAGTTGGGACTTTATTTGTTTATTTTGGGGTTCACCCTCTCTTTTCCTCTTTACATCACCTTCTAAACCCAACCTGGAGTTTTTAAGATAACCCCTCATCCTTACTTCTCAAAAGTTGCCAGCTGAGGTAGGAACTCAAGGCAACCAACCAGTGGAAACCTGTAGCTAGAGTTTTCCTGCCTGGCCCACAGTCAGAACAAATTTCTCTCACCTACCAGTAGCTCAAACCAGCAGCTGCCGCTCATTTGAGAGAGACAATTAGGAAGCTGTTTTTAGCTCCGTTTTAGAATCTTTTTTCTCAGTTTTTAGGTGGAAACTCTTGCCCCACGTTGGAAGCCATTTTGTTTTGTACTAGCAAAGGCTAAATCCACCACACAGCTTAATGTGCCACTTGCAGAGGCCTCATTCCTGCCATACTGCAGGTCGAGCATGCACGCACGCCAATATAAGTCTCTGTGTTTACTTGGTCGGGTCTGAGTGGCTGTGGGACTGGCAGGTTTGAGAGATTTGTCCTGACTGTGGGCCAGGCAGGAAAACTCTAGCAACAAAAACCCATGAGCCAATCATCAGGGGATCGTCAGACCCGGAAGCCCAAAACAATCTTCTAAATTCAATCCCAGAACCCATGTGATAGAAGGAGAGTGCCAGCTCCTGCAAGCTGTCCTCTGACCTCCACCTGAGTACTGTTCTAGGTGTGCAACACACACACACACACACACACACACACACACACTAAATAAAGATGAAATGTGAAACATTAAAAACACAAGAAACAGATCAACAGCCATGCCTGTCTCACATGCCTCTCTAAGTATGGGTGAGCAGAACAGCAGAGACTCTCTCTAGGAAAAATGGGCGAGCATGGCTTTGAAACAGAAACCACGGAGAAGATGCTACTTGCAGCCCCTATCTGAAAGGCCTAGAGCCCCTTATTTTTCTCATCCCTCTTTGGGATGAAGCCTTTGTCTTAGGCCGCTGACTCACCCTGACTCTCTGTCACCAACAGTGGTGACCAATAAGCAGCCTCAAAGATCTGAGAGACGTGGCGAGCACTGCCACCCCCTCTGCCAAGCCTGGTCCAAGAGTCAAGTCTCGGGGATCTAGATCTGAGTCTCAGAGGCAGGAACAGACGTGTTGCTCTACAATGTGTCTCCAGAATTCCCATGGCTGTGATCAGTGACTATCAGCTCACTTGGGAAAACAAGTGGTAGACCACTGCCCACCCCAGACCAGTGACAATGTCTGAGAATGGCACAGCAGGGGACACCGGGGTGACCTGACTGGCAGTGCTTCACACAGCCCTGAGGCTAGGGTCTTCTCGAAGTCAGTGCTGCTACTGGAGCAACGTGCTCACTTCAAGCCAAGCAGGCTAAGGAAGAATGAAGGGGTGGTGATGGGTGAGCCCCGAGGGTCCACTGCAAGGATCTAAGGGTACAGAGTCCTTGACCCCAAAAAGTGTTGACTAGCCTCAAGGCCACACCCAGAGAGTCTTCAGTAGCCCTAGACTCCACTTGGAGTTCCTGCTGTTCTCCCAAAGAAGTGGTCTCTACCCAGGGCAACAGGCCAACCTAAAGACTCAGATGTATCATCAGGAAAATCCTTCGTGCTTCGTCAATAACTCAACCTGACCGGGCAACTTTCCTCCTCTTTTAGTACGTGGATCTTCCATCTCTTCCCTGCCCACAGGTCATTTCCCATGCCAGGTTTCAATCTAAAGTTACCTGTTTACAAACACTGTCCCCAACAGTGGTGCCACACAAGCTGAAGAGCTGGTAACTCCCGCACTCAGCTGTAAGAACCCAGTATTTACAATGATTCAATAAACCCCACGACCTGGTCAGAGCCAAGATTTTAGCCAATGGTCTCTAGGTGTGGATGGTTCCCTACCACACCTTTGACCCAGAGAGGCATTTCTATGAGGCTCTGCCAGGGGAGAACTCAGGTTGGACAGCCAGGGCTTTATTGTGACGGGATCAGAGAATGCCAAAACCATTTTTAAAGCATGAAAAGCAATTTAGTTTATAGCCATAACAGCATATTTCAAGTGCGGCGACAGCATCTGTTTGGGGGAGGAGAAGACGAAAGCCTTTGGCTCAGGTGGGTGAGCAGGTGTAGACTTCCTTTCTTGCCAACGTTGGCTCCTGAGCACCCTTACTTGGGACAGGTATGTATGTACATATATACATGTGTGTATGTATATGTATACATACACAATAACAGCAACACAGATGGACACCCTACCATCCCCCAAGCTCTGCACTCAGGCACTCCCCCCACTTCCCAGTGCATACCACTCTACACACAGGGAAATCTCCAGCTGCTTCCTACAGTGAGTAAGAATCCTCAGAACAGAAAGGCCCAAGTTCCTGATACAACCAGCGCCTGCAGGAATGCCACGCCTTTATCAAGCATTTGCAAGAAACACCACTCCAGAAGAACCTTCCCCTTCAGGGCAGAGTACCCACAGGAATGATATTGATGATTGGGGTGCCCAAATGTGTCCCACTGACACACTGGGAAACCCCAACCAATTTTTTCCAAAGTATCGACCATGGGAGGATTCCTCCCAAAGCAAAATTAAAAACAGCCTGATAGATCCTGTTGACAAATTAAGCCTTAAGCCTAACTGCGGAGCCAGGGCTCTACTGTTGGTGGGTGGCTTCCCTGCTCCTGTGCTCACACTCCATGCACCTTCAGCAAACGCCTACCCAGAAATGCCTCTTTCTCCACACCCAAAGGAAGCCTGTGTGTACCTTAGGTAACAGGACCCTTGTGGCCAACAGCCTCTGCAACTGTCAGAGTGGTCGGGCTCAGGCCATTCTTTCCCTAAAGCTCATCTCATGGGCAACCAGCTAGTCTACTTTCTTCCAATTTGGTAGGTGCACCTTCAGACCTCTGGGATTTGATGTTAGGGTCACTTGTCCTCTGTACTCTAGGACTTCTTTTCAGGATGAAACATTTTCAAACTTGTGCCTAAGCTTTAAAAATAGCCCAACCATCCATGGATATGTGTTGGAGGGGGCGCGGACAGGGAGGGTGCTAGGTGAGGCCGCCATTACACCAGACCCAAATGAAGCAAATCGCTGTAACAATATATGTCTCGGTCCCTCCAAAGCTTGCAATTCCCATCACAGACAATAGATGTATCTCCAAAATAGTCCCCAGGGCACCGCTCCCCAGCCCAGTGACGTCACCCCCTCCTCTCAGCTACTCTTGGCTCTGCTTCCGTCCTGCCAAGACCTCAGTCCTAACTCACCACAAGGACCACCACCAGGTCTAGAGGCAAAGTCTCTGAGTGGCTCAGGAAAAAAAGAGGGGAAAAAAAAAAAAGCATTGTCCCCTCCCCTCCCTAACGTCACACCTGCCCCAATACCCAAGCTTCCCCAGCCTCTTGACTTTTAAATGCAAAGCCCTTATTGCTTTCTCAAAACACCCAGTGATTTTCTCCAGCTCTTTTGGAAAGTGTCTAAATGTCAAACAGCCACACATTTCCAGTACCTAGCTGAGCCAGGCCCAGGGAGCTGGAGAGTTTCGGAGGGTGTATAATTAGCCGATCAGTATTATGTTACCCTGTTCATAACTGAATCACCATTTTAATACAGATGGCACACACTGGGATAATTTCTAGGGTCGCCTTGCAGTACGTTACAACATGAGTGTGGCGGAGGGAATCTTCTTTAGCCAAGGTACATTCTACCAGCTAATTTTACCTGCTGTTTTCAGGATGATTTGGGATAATTCCATATCATTTGCAAAATATTAAAAAAAGATAGGTAATGCTGGTTGCAGAAAGAAACACCATCTGAATTATTAGTTGTTCTGATAATGGGCCTGTGAAGAGCTTCAAAGAACAACAGAGTGTGAAACTCTTAACTCTCTTCGATTGTGGGGGGGCCTGAGAATGCGGGGACCTGCTTCTGGCTGGAGTGTGACTGGCAGTCCTGAATCTCTGCATACAATGGTCGGACTGTAACAGTTCTGCAGCTACGAAGCCAGTTTGGGATCCCGGGATTTAGTACTGCCTGAGTGTTCTGAGGTCACCCCAGATCGATAGCCTGGCGCACACTGGCTGGGGTACATATGCATAAAGCATAACCTTGTGGTCTCCCAGATAGCACTCCAGAGCGACCTGGGGCTTAAGAGACCTAAGTACCCTGCAAGTTGAACTGACTAGAGCCTGCATGGTCCTAGTGTCTGAACCCATCATTATGGAAAAGGTTTCAGCCTCAAGATAGGCATGCTTGGTGGTGGGGGGCATCTCCCAAGAGTCAGCCACAGGGACCCAGCTCTCACTCCCTGCCTGGCATCCCAGTCCTTGTCCAGCTCCTCTACTCTCTGCCAAGTCCTGGCTGGTGGCTGGCATCTGCTCTGCAGGCCTGGATGCCAGTGCTTCTCGGCCGGAAATTTGTGTGGAGCTGGCTAGCAAGACCTGGGCTCCTGGGAGGCAAGCTTTGTGGGAGCTGCCTGAAGGGGTAAAGGAGTCAGGGTTCTGGCTGCCCCTGGGGAAGGGTACATGACTTTAGAAAGAAAAGTCTGTTTGGAAGCGATGAATAGACAGTGGTCATTTTAAAAGCTTTGCTATGGGCTGTGATTGTCTCTAGATCCCGAGGCGGGTAATCTTGGAGTCTTAATTACCACAAACACTTGGATTCATTTTCAGGACACCGGCGGGAGAAGCCTGGCAGGGAAAACCCAGCTCTGAATTGGAAAGAGCCCTGTCTGTCTGTCTGTCTATTTCTGCCTCTCAGGTCCATTTTCCTTGCCCAAAGAATTCAGGCTGGGAGCTGGAAGGAAGGGTAGGGGCTGGACAGAGCAAGGATGGGCCCTGGGAGATGGCCCAACAGGCAGGAACAGGGAACTGGAGTCCTGCCCTCCAGGCCCAGGGGGGGCTTTGCTCACCTGTTGATGGATGAGACGCTGGGAACCGTGTCATTGTCGCAGATGCCCTCCGCTAGCAGCCGGTCCCGGATCTCCCAGGCGAACATAGTCGGGTTCTGTCGCTTGTATTCAGCAATCTTGTCCACCACTTTGGGCGTTGCCACCTTGGGCTTCGAGCCACCAATCACTCCAGGCTTGATGCTGCCAGTCTCGTAGTACCTGGGCCAGGAAGGCCGTCGGGGTCAGCAAGAAGCCGGTGGTGGCAAGGGCAGGGGGGCTGCAAGCTCCAGAGCTGCTAAGCCGCTCTCCCTCCCTAGGCATCAGCGTGAAGGGAAAAAGGCCCTGTGTAGCTGAGCAGACTCCAGAAGGTGGTGACTAGCGTGGAAACGGGCATAGTAGCTAAGCGTGGATAGTGGCTAGAGCGGGTACCCCGGGAGTGGAAGTCTGGCTTTCCATTTGGGAAGCAGAGAAGGACCCATGCTGGGAGAGCTGATTCCACCTGAAGCACAGAGTCCCTTTGGAATCGGAACCCTCTTTTAGCCTTCCTAATGCTGCATTTTCTCATCTTGGGACCCCCTTCTTCCATCCCCATTCACATTGATTAGCTGGGGGAAAATCCCTCCTTTTCAGAATGTAGCTGCCTTCCTCGAAGGGCCCCGGAGCTGGGTTACGCTGGGTAGACGCTGCTCCACCCTCACTCCATGGCCTAGCCATCACTTGAATGTCCGCCTCAAAAAAGGGGCAGCCAGTCTTTTAAATCCCTTCAAGTCCGGACCTTCCTTTCCTGCCCGGCATCTCAACTTTTAACTAAAGCCTCAGCTGGGAAGGGAGGCAGCACCAGCCCTCACCTGCCCAGGATTTTGCTGACACAGCCATGGCTGACCCGCAGCTGCCGCGAGATGTCACAGGGCCGCACACCCTGGTGGGCCAGCTCCACGATGCGCTGCCGCACCACGTCGGGTAGGGGCCGGCCGTTCACAAACACCCCCCCGAGCTGGTTCACACCCCCGTGCCCTGCTGGGGAGAGACAAGAAAAAAACACAACACCCCACACACAGCAGGGACCGGCCATTAGTCAGGGTCCGAGGCCCGGCACGTGCGAAGGGAGCAGGCAGGGCTAAGGGGCATATCCCGGGGGGGACTCGGGGAGAAAGGCGGCTTGGTGGGCGTGCAGGAGACAGGAGGATTAGACATCAGAACCCCAGGCTAGCTGTAGGAACTGAGAAGCTGGGCTGGGGAAGAACCCGCCCCTCAGACTAGTGCGCTGCAAAGGAGAAAGTGCAGGAAGAGCAGAGGAGCCAGGAGAGAGAGGAGAGGCGAAAAATGGAGAGGGAAAATAAACGACCAAAGGGAATAATGTCAGTAGGGATGAAAGCAGGGAGCTAGGGAGAGGACGCACCGGGCCAGGGACAGTACTGCTGCGGGCTAGGAACCCGCCTGCGCCGCAGGCTAGGTGCGGCTTGGGTATCACAAGGGCTTGGAGCTAGATGATTTTGGAGGGTCGGGGTCCTCTTGACTCAGCTCAGCGGAGTCCTCAGTGTAGAGAGGGACTAAGTCAAACGCACCCCCTTTTCACCTTCGCTGCCTACCTCTCCCCTTGTATCTATTTTTAATTGTAATTGTATGGTTTCCTCTTTCCCTGTTTTTCCGTTTTGTTTTTATTGGAAGTTCTTTCTTCCTTCTCTGTTTTCTGTCTTCGGGTATTTTGGACCATATTTCCCCTCTGCATCCCTAATGGCTAAGGTAGGAAGAAATCTAGGTGGAGAAGGAACGGCAGAAGGGGTAGTGATTCGGTATCCGTTGCGCTCAGAGACCGCGAGGCGGCTAAGAGTCTCGCTCTTCCCGGCAGCCGCTGAAGAACGCGGGCTGCTGGGGTTCGCTTGCCTACCACGCTGCTGCCGGCTGGGGACCCCGGAGTCTCCCCCAACCCCAGGTGGCATGGTAGGGACCGCACCTGCGGGCTTAGGACTCAGAGGCACTCGGTGTTGCAGTCTAAGCCAGTTCGGGACCCTCTGACCCCTCTCAGACCTCGGCAGCTGCCTAGGAAATCCAACCGTAAGGACGGATGTTCCACCGGTCAGAGCAGAGCCCTTGGTTTCCAGTCCAACTTGGCGGGAGCTCCCAACCTGGAAGCCAAGAGAGCCACCGGGTGCCAGGCTCGAGGCCGCTGCAGACTGCCCCATTTTCCGCGGCCTAAAGCAGCTTGGAAATCCTGCACCTAGTGCGATTAACCTACAGCTTCAGTTACTCAGCAAGCTAACGCAGAGACTTGTAGCCGCAGTGTCCGGCCAGACAAGGTCGGCAACCTGCAGCCACTGCCCCACCGCCTCACGCGAGTTTCGGAGAAAGCGGGCACATCTCGCGCCCCCTTCATCTCCAACCATCTCATTCTGGGGAAATCAACACAAGCGTGGGAGAACACCCTGGCCAGAGGCCTCTAATGGAGTGGTTCCGGGAGGCCCGGAACCTCTTCTTATCTTACATCCCCATCCCCATGTTCTCCCCATCCTTGGTACCACTCTTCTCCCCTCCCCTCCCTACAAACCCCGACCATCAATAATTTAGGCCCCGGGAGAACTCGCGTTACCGGTATGAAAAGGCGGCAGCTGCGGGCAGATTAAAGATGAATAATTCAGCCTCACCGGGCTCCGGGCCCGGCCCCTCTGCCCCAATATATGGGAAGGGGATTGCAACCGGCAATCGGCTGGAGTTCAGGGCCGATGGTCTGCGGAGGATCCGCGCTGAATCAGGCCCGGAATGTGCTACTGCCGAGGGCGCCGACCCGGGCTGTAGCTGCTCGCCCGCCAGTCGGCGGCCTTGCCGGCCTGCGCAGTGCCCCTCTCCCTTCCTTCGACTGCCTTCTGCTGCCTTTGCTATCTTTTTGGTTTCGAAGTGGTTCCCTGAGACTGGCCCTGACTGGCGCGTCCCGGAAGCAATTCTCAAAAAAACTGAGCTAGGCAGTGGCAGCCAGGCTGAGACAGGCCGGCCGCCTTGGTGAACTGGCGTGTAGACTCGGTTTCATTCCCTCCGAAAAAGAGCTAGGCTTCCCGGCCGCCGGAGACACCCGCAGCTGCCCGAAGTCCCTGGCTTGGGTTTCCTTTACCTAGAAATCATTTCGGGAACTGTATTTTATTCCAGGAGGTTTTTTTTTTTTTAATTGTCCCGTAAAGTTAAATGTGTGCTTAGGAAACAAATAAACAAAACACGACTGTCTTATTGGATCACATTTAAAGCACAGATCGAGGCTAGGTCTAAAAAGTTACCTTGTGGAAAGTTACAAATTATCCTTAATTATTAATCTATAGATGGGGAGGGTTTTCTACTTAGAATATTATTTATCTTTTTAAGCAAAGGAAGATACCTGACAAATAGTTTTCCAAGTTAAAGACCTGGCATGAATTAGATAAATTCAAAATTCATTAAGACATCCTCCTCATTTCCTGTTTTCTTACCCCCCATAACATCCTTTCAATTTTCTTTCCTTGATTTCCCCTCGTTTTGATTTCTCTTCTCTTTCTCCTCAGCTTTAGCGGTTGTCTTTCTTTTGTTCCTTCCCTCTCATTTTTCCATTCTTGCTGACCCCCTGGCCAGGGCGCTGGCTGCATGGTCCTCAACGGGGAGTGGAGGCAGGCAAGGGAGTCTCCAGAACGCAGAGCGTCCAGGAGCTGCCTTGGAAGGCTCTACTATTCGCTTTCTTCCTGACTTTGACTTCTCAAAACCTCTTATTGTTTTTAGAACGATCACCTCCCTGGGCAAAGCCAAGGAAAGTGACTACCTTCTCCTGCCAATCTCGGGCTCCTAGCTGGAAGGGAAGGAAGGGCGGAGTGAAAGAGAGAGCACGGAAATATTTCAAACAAGCCCCACTAGGCTGGAAGGAACCAGAGAGGCTGTGAGCTGAGGCTCAGAAGGGGGTCACACCCCCAGGAGCTTCTCCATAGCCGTCCTGACACCGAGGCTGCTCAAGCTAGGAGCCTCCTCCTGATCAGCCACAGCTCTAAGTTTGAGAAAGGTAGACACGAGAGGAGGGAGGAGAGAGAGAGAGAGAGAGAGAGAGAGAGAGAGAGAGAGAGAGAGAGAGAGAGAGAGCCCGAAAACTGACAATTAATCCTCCAGTCCAGTCCAGGGCAAAGGCTAGGGAGTAGTGGGAGGCTGGAACCCGGGCCCAGGGCTATGGATCCCGCGAGGTAAGGAGGAGCAGGTGGAAAGAGCAAGCAGGTGAAGCACTAGGGGAGGTAGAAAGGCAGACAGAACGATGAGCATGGGGTGGTAAAAAGCCGAAGAGAGAGTGGCTGAAGGCATGAGAAACACTAGGTTAGAGAAATAGGCAGAAGGCAAAAGGAAGGGCCGGGGGAAAGCCAGTGTGGCCTCTAGGAGCCTCTGAGCGCAGGGGGCCGGGCCGCGCTGGGGCTAGATGGGTTTGGAACCGAGACAAGAGCCGGGCGCCGGTACTCACGGTGCATCGCGGAGAAGGGGTCTGCTTTGCAGTGCATATCCATGGGGAGGCAGAGGAGCGGGAGCAGCGCGGCCGCCGCCGCCGTGTCGCCTCTCAAACTCAACTTCAGGACTTGAGGAGAAAAGGAAGGGACGGTGGGGGAGGGAGGGTGAGCGGGCGCCCGGCTGCTGCGGGGCACGCGAGGGCGGGGGGCGCCGCGCTGCGCTCCCCGCCGGGACTCCTCCGGGCCCGCCGGGGTCTGCAACCGCAGCGGCTGCAACTTGCCACCGTCGGGGCACGCGGCTGGGCAGTCAGTAAAGCAGCCCCCGGGCGACGGGCTGGGCCAAGGGGCACAGGGGGCGCATGGCTCGCGAGCCAGCTGCGGCCGGAGCTGAGGCCGGGTGGGGAAGACGGCTCACTCAGCTCCCCTGGAACCCGGTGGCCCGAGAGGCTCTGAACAGAGAGGGCTCAGGGCAGGGGCGGCCCGAGGGCGCCGGGAGGGGAGCCGGGCCGCTCCAAGTGCTGGCGAGTTGGCGAAGTTGGCAGAGAAGTAGCAATCCCCGGGATGTCCAAGCGGGCGCCCGCGGGAGGGGAGCGCGCGAGCCGGCCCCCGCCCCCGGAAAAGGCAGGCGCACGCCGCGGCGGCCGGAGGGCCAGGAGGGAGGGAGGCAGCCTAGGAGCCGAGCGGCGCCCGCAGCGCTGTGCTGGCCCCAGGTGGGTTGCGGCTGCAAGAAGACTCGGCCGGAGACTGGAGCCTGGGCTCCCGGTGTGTGTCTCTCTAAAAGCTGCAAAGCCCCCTCCAGACCCCCTCCTCCTCCCCGCGCCGGGAGATGGATGACTTGTCAGACAAAGGCAATAGATTCCACCACTCTGTGATTCGCCAGCGCCGGAGCCCCGAGCTTCGGCAAGGAGGGCCCCGCGCCTGTCACTCCGGTGCCGGCGAGGGGAGGGCCGGGGAGGGGGAAACGGGAGGGAGCAGCGGGCGAAGGAAGAGGGAGGGTGAGGAGCGGGCCAGGGGGAGGAGGACTAGGAGCCCAGGATTAAAACTACACTGAGAAACGAAACTCGCCGAGAAGATAAACGTTAGATAAGGATAAAGAGCGGCCAGCCTAATGAATATTCAGGCAACTACAGAGGGCCTTGGAGCGCGCCGCGCCCCGAAGCCAGGCTCTCTGTCCTAACTCGCCCAGCCCTGCCATCCACCGGCCAATGCCCGCAGATCCCACCGCCCGCGGGTCCGCATCCTTAGTCCCAACTCGGCTGTCCTTAGCGCTGAGTTCCCTTCCGCTCTTCCCTGGGTCTTCCTTCCTCCATCCCTTTACCTCTGGTCCTTCCCTTTCGCATTTCCCTCCTGTGGTACCTTCCCATCCACGCACGCCTGATTCTCATTCCGGGGCAAAGTGCCCAGCAGTTTGTCCCCTCCCGTCCCACACGCGGTGGCGCGCACCCCCTCTCCGGAGTCTGGGCAGTCCAGAATGCTTGGTTTAGAATCAAACTAGAGGCCTCTGGCTAGGACCCACCTGCCTTGGTGGGACCCAACGGACGGCAGGAGAGCCAGGGAACTTGGCTCCTGGACCCTCGGGTAGCTAGGGAGGGGATTGGGCCGGGAGACAGTGCGCAGCGGCTTGTCGGCTGCAAAGGATGCAGCAGCCCAAGGCGGGACCAAGACGCTCTCTCTCCCCGGCTGGGGAGAAGAGGAGGCTGTGGACGCGGCTGAGCGCCGCCCGCCGCTAGCTCTGCGGATCCGGAGCGAGCGCAGCCGGCGCAGCACGCCGGCCTGGCCCGGCTTCTCTCGGAGCCGCTGGCCCAGTCTCTGCAGCCTGACCCGCGCTCGCTCCCTTGTTCGCTGGGGTCCTCTCGCACGCACTCGGCAAGAGAAGCCCTTTGTCTCCTAACTGGTTAAGTACAGAATATCCGGGAGATCTTTATGAAATATTTTCCCTCGTCTCATAAATCATCTTGGCACTTCAGCTGATGTTTTAACTCTCTCTCTCCCCCCTTCGCTCCCTCCTCCCAGGCTTCCCTGGGTCTGAGAAAGGGCGGCTCCGGGAAGCTCGAGCTGCCAAACACTGCTTTTTTGCCTGGCGGACCCGAGACTCTCGGCATTGTCTGCAGCTCCTGGAGCCCAGAGGAAGGACAGTGAGTGGATTCGTGCCCCTGTCCCTATGGCCCAAAAGCCTCAGCAGTAGTTGGGATTGAGGGGAAGCACCCACCAGACTCAGCCCGACTCAGACTGACTCCTACTGGGCATCTAGAACCCTGGTTCTAGA